TATCATGTTACCTGAAATCAGGAGTTCCAGGTCCCAATCATTGGAACGGGACCCAGGGCTCTCACTGACACCCTGGTCTTTGTGCTGGAAGTGCTCCGTGCGACGCGCTCCAAGCACAAAGACAGGTACGCCAATTAGCAACCCCACGGAAAAAAAACGCCCAGTCCAATGGGGCCACTAATTTGCGTATGTTTGGCGCCAAGGGGTTAAGGTAGCCCATTTATTTGTACTACCAAAGCTCAGAAAATTGACATGCACCTTTTTTATGAGGTAGCACATTGCAACACACAGTAATGTGTGGCAATGCAGGTACGTTGGCAAGGTGGATTGCGTTACTATCAGAGTGGAACTAAACCCTCCTATCTTTTTTTTTTTTTTTTTAATCCAAGGAAGCTGCCATCTTAGCCTCTGTTTGATCTTCAACTGCTATGGTGCTTGCTGCACTTATGACACCAGCCATTTGATGGTTTACCAATTTGGTTGAGAGCATAAGCAAATAGGAAAGTTACTTTTCCGGCATGTGCTGGCCATGTAACTGTTTCTTGAAACAATTAAAATGATGGGTTTAGTTCCGCTTTAAGAGTGAATGGCAGTGCCTTGCTCCAGCAAGCATTTATGCACTATGCTAGTTTAAATGGACCCCTAGAGTTTGCAGTAGCCGACATTGTGATCAACAGAATACAATGTAGCAATATTGTTGCCAAGATTCAATGCTTTTAGTCCTCATGCACACTGGACATTTTTACAGCTGCTGTTTTTGGCTTTTGGTGTTTTTTTTTTTTTTTTTTTTTTTTTTTTTTTACAGTTAGTAAACTCCCCAGCATGTTATCCTATGTGTCCATGCACACATAGACTGTAATCAGCGGTTTTTGGCTGGAAAAAAAAGCCAGAAACTAGTGGGTTTCTAGAGGAGTTTTTTCAGCTGTAAAAATGCTCTAACGCTGAAAAACGCAGTAAATCGTGGCAAACCAGCGTTTCTGGACTTTTTTTTTTTTTAAGCAAATAAAAATTTAATTTTTTTTGTAAAATAAAAAAAAACACTAAAAAATGCGTCAACGCAGAAAAACTCAAGTTTTTAACATGACTTTATACAGCTAACATTACCAGCATTATTAAAACATCCAGTGTACATGGAGCCTAAACATCAGCCAATAATCTAGAATCGCTGACTTAGAACTGGCATGAAACAGGTAGTCAGAACTCCTGCATACTTCAGGGCAGTGACTCAGTCATTCGGGTCAATCTGACCTCAATAGTCTCTACCAGAAATTTAGCAGTTTCAAAAGGAGATCAGCATTGTCCGCTTTCCCTATATAGCTGTCAACACATTTCCTTTACATTAAAATCTTAATCTGGCTGGCAACCAGTCAAGGGGGTGGAGAATTAGAGTAATGTTTGATGATATTTAGTGCTGCTAGCCACATTTCATTGCTCAGCAGATTAGAGATGTTAGAGCAGTGAAAGATTGTTTGTTACTGTACTTTGATTGTTTTTGCTTAATTTGCCAAAAAAACTTTTTTTGAGTTTTGCTACATGATGGCTAGTTGCATTGACAATTTTATTTGGATAATTAATGGGTTAAGGATGTAAGTTTTTTTTTTTTTTTTTTTTTTTTTTTTTTCTCTGCCATTTTTGCTTTAGATTCTCAGTCCTCATCTGCTTTATTATCAGTAGCTGCCTTTCTTGACCCTTTCACCCCAGAGGAACCCTATTTATCAGTGGCAATGGGAAAATGTTCTTCAAAAGGAAGAATACTCCCCTTAGAGGGGTACCGAGATCGCCACTCTTACAAACAGATAAAAAGATCATTGGTGTCATGCTTCTAATCTTACCAAGTGGCATTGACCCTGGTGCTAAGAAGACACCATCAAATGGTAGGTCAATCAGCCACAGCTCAAGGAACCTCAAACAACTTCTCGGTTGAGAATGACTGAGTGGAGAATTCAGTAGAGTAAAGGGAAGATGCCCTCAAACTGGCTATACCTGGTGAGCTCACCTGGGTACTGTACAGTGGATCCTGCATCTCTCAAAACCTGATAATTCTGATCACCTAAGCATAGGAGAATCACATACCCGAGCCCCATAATTAAAGCTCAACTTTATCCCCTGAAGATCCCCCAAAGCTCCAAAATGCAGTAAATATGTCTACTAATGCCCGGAAAGATTAAAAACATTAGATGGCTAACAGATCCACTATGCTATACGTTTAGATGATCATATAAGCTAAGAAGATTTTACACTAGTTTTATAATAAACGGTCAGATTCAATTACTAAATTCATGCCAGCTGATCAAATATTTTCTTTGCCACCATCGGTGAGCCCAGATTCATCAGTACAAAATTTGTGCATGGCCCATGGCTATGCAGATTAGTGAGTCCTAAAATATGAAGTACCTAATTTCTAAATAATATTTACACTTTAAATGTAAATAAGAAACATGTTAAACATTCACCAATGTATTTTGGCAAATGGAAATCTAATCATTTGTCTAATCATTGTTGTCACCTGTCTCTTGCACATAAGCAATGCTGTTTTTACTGACTTGTAGATATTACTGTTTATATGCAAAATCTGTTCCATGCAAATAAAAAAAGATGGATAATTTCTCCCTGCTGAATACATTTTGCTGTGTTCAGTGACTTAAGCATGAACAAAGCCTCCATTTTTATAACAAGCAGTATCAATTCTGATTTACATTTACTTACTACAGAAACTTCTAACATTCAAAACTACTTATAGTTACTTACCAGATAAAACCAAATACAATCAAGAATAGGCCGCAAACCATTAGATATAGAACACTTTTGCCAAGTGCCATTCTAGTTAGCTTTCTCTGCTTCTGGAGAGCTTTTGAGGCTGTTGGAGCATTATAAGCTGACGGTTAGCTGAAGGATTGGTGCATTATTATTGTAGGCAGGGAAGTTGCATATGCCTGGAATCCACCTGTTAGATTAAGAAAATGAAACTGAAAGTTTCCAGACCTGAGACTACAGCTCAAGTGTAAAGTAAAACTGGTTCTTTTGTGCTGTAGTAAATATTTTGTCTCTTGTTTCCATAAGTAGTTTCCCCAGCTCAAGTCCATTTATTAAAAATATACTACACATCTAAAATAAGGCAAATAGAATGTTCTGTGGCTCATATATAATATATATACTGTATATGATTTGGAGACACATTCAGAAATCCCGTAGTGACTAATCGGAATTTCTTTTTCACTGGTCTGACTTGTAGTGAAGTAAATGCTGCTTTCTTTGGATAAATATACTTTGCACATGTAAATAAAAGCTGAATTTCAGGAAAACAAAAAAATTTTTATATTGAGCCCCCCCCCCCCAGGGCGTCTTCCCAGGTTCACAGTCTTTTAGTTGGGCATGAATAATGTAACTCCCATACATCTGCATGGGAGTTGCTTTGTCTTGGTACATAGTAGAGCAGAGACTGTATACTGAGCTGCGCATGCACAGCTCAGTGCACACAAATAGTAAAAGGGCTAACAAGCAGGTAGGAGCATCTATGAAAGAAAATACGAAAATTGGGCTTCAATGAAAAAGACTGACTTGATTCCACCATCCACACACACTAAAGGTGAATGGGGGAGTTCTCCCTGCTCAGCTATTATATAATGACAGTGGGAGAAATCCCTGCTATCAGAGTACACTGACTGTGCTACCTGCTATAGCCTGAAGCTCTGTTTGAATGGGGAAAATCTGACAAGGCGGTTGTACGGAAGTTCATTGGTAGATTGACTTCTGTACCACCAAGGTGCCCATACATGGGTCTAAATTCATCTGGTCCCTGCTGAACAAAAATTAGACATTCTGTTTTGAAATTAAGGCTATACTTCTACTAGAAATAGTACTCTGATGACCTCAGCTGTCCCCAGCCTGCCGAATGAACAGTGAAGAAGAAGATGACTGAAGAGGCCCCCCTACCCCTGGTAGCTTGTTCCTTGCAGCTTGCCTGAGTGGCTGCTTCTGTTTCCTCTATCTCTATCCTTTATTATTTTGGGATAGACGTTGAAAAATAAAAAATGTACTGGTGTTCATGGCCCTTTTGGCTGGAGTTTACCAACTGGGCAAGAAGTGAGGGGAGCAATCATCTCCAAGTGAGTGTGCTAAAAAAGTTGTTTGATCATCTCAGTCACAGACAAAAATAACCTGACAAGAAAACCATTGTCTGCTGACCTGAAGCCAAGACAATCTTCATCCCTCCTTGACATTTGTGATGCCAGTTTAGCTGTGTAGTTTTTTTGATTAGCCACCTATAATATGGTGGCTCACAGCATTACTACTAAAACCCATGTACGCATTTCAGAGTGGCTTGGAGCAATTCCTCAACCTTGAGGTAAGATGCACCTATTGTTTAATTTAGGTGCCCCTTTCTCATCATGAAGAGTCATTGGTCATCCAACCAGCTGAGCTCTCCTCACTTGTACCCATACCAGTCAACCGTATAAAGCCCCTCAACCACTTCAAGTCTGTTGTCAAATACGTCTATCTAAGAAAGCCACTAAAAACTGCTACTGTTCGCCTGTGGGGGTTGTTCCCAGTTTTTCAGTTGTATGTAATAAAGTAAAAAAACCTTTTTAAGATTTCGTTTTAAATAACGTTTTGAAATATCCAGGTGCAGATGTTATTGTGAGTTCAGATACAGTTGTTGTAAAATGACCTCAGAATGGAGAAATAGAAACCATCATTGCCAAGTCAGTCGGAGAGTCAGAAGTCACCTGAAATCTGATGTTTCTGGCCATTAACTGTCTGTCATTACACACCAAGTCATATCTTTACTATGAGCACTGAGCAAGGTCAGGCACAGGATAGGCGTATGATGTCCCCAACTTTCTAGCTGAAGTATCAGGTTTAGACAAAGTAAGCAAAGCTAAATGATGTGAAAATATAAATACTTTATATGTAAGCCTGTTCAGTTGTAATAATTAAAGCCTAAATATATTGCTCTCTTATCTATGCAAATGTTATTTATTTGTTTTATTTTTATTCAGAATATGAAGATGGTGATTTGTCCAGCTGGGTGAACAGAGAGAGATTTGAAGGGTATCTTCATGTTGATGGATTTACATTGTACGAGCTTGGAGACACAGGTATGATAATATGTGCTGTGGTTTCTTAAAAGCGACCCAGTTATTTAAAATATAAACCACAAGCCCATCCACCTATAAAAGAAGAGAGGGAATCTCCTAGTACTCAGCGGTTCCTATGTCAAATCTCATCATTACTGTATCCTGTAAAGAAAAGGAAATAAGCAATGTAACGTTAAGCGATGGAGATTTCCATGATTTGGTGATGATCTGTTTGGCAGCTGTGGTAACCTGCAGGATAAGTTTAAATTGTAGCTTTGTAATATCGGATGGTCGCAGGTTAAGCAACGCTGTTAGCGGGCTCGGGTGGAGGGTTTTCGCACTTAATAGGGAGAGTATTTTAAAAACTTCCGTCCAGAAAACTCGAACGGTTGGGCACTCCCACCATGTATGGAACAAAGTGCCCGGGTCTACGCAACCTCTGAAGCATGCCGAAGGATAGTTAAGGGTGTACTTAGCTATTCTTGCTGGTACTAAGTACCAACGGGTCAAGACCTTGTAGTTGGTCTCCAGTGCCACGATATTCTGCGATGACTCCTTGGTAGTAGACCAAATGCAGTCCCAATCTGAGGGGTCAATCTGATGGCCCAGGCCTGATTCCCATTTCTGTGTGTAGGAAGGTAGCGGAGCTGCGGACGGGGTCGTGAGGAGAGAATACAGGTATGATATGAGGCCACGTCTGTGAGGGTCTTTATGGCAAGCTCGTTCAAAAGGGGACATGTCGGGTTTTGGATTAGCGACTGTGGCGTACGGGGCATAGAAATGTTTCAATTGTAGGTAATGGAATATTTCTGAAGGTGGAAGTTCATGAGTTTCACATAGCGAGGCAAAGCACCTATATTTGTTCCTAAGCATGAAGTGATGGGTAAGGGTAAGATCCGCTGCAAACCAGCGGTTAAAGGAGTGCGGTGAGGGCCAAGCTGGGGGAAAGGCTGGATTTCGGAGACAGGAAAGGAGGGGATTATGTGGTGATTGTAGAAGATAGCGGGATTTTAGCTTATCCCAAAGATGTAAAAAATGTGAAGTGATGGGGTTAGTGACCGAATGGCGATCTATGGATCTTAACCAGAGTAGATTAGCTGTATATAGGGGGTCGCATTCTGTTGATTCTAGAATAACCCATTGTAGGGTTTCGTAGGTAGCATGATATTTTGGCATCTGAGCTATGTGCGCCGCCTGGTAATATTTGCTAATATCTGGGAGACCAAGTCCGCCATTAAGCTTTGGGAGAAAGAGAGGGTGGAGCGGGGGACACGTGGGCGGACCTTGCCCCAGACATAGGAGAAAATGCGGCGTTGTAAGGTACGCAGATAATGAGCGGGTATTGAAATTGGGAGAACTCTAAGGTATAAAATTTTGGGGAGGATGGACGTTTTCACGACTGCTATTCTGCCTAGTCATGCTAGTGGAAGGGAGGATCATTTGGACATGAGTGCTGTTAGTTGAGCTAAAATTGGGATGTAGTTGGCGGTATAAAGATCCAAAATGTTCGGGGAAAGTTTTATGCCCAAGAAGGGAATGGAGCCTTGTGACCCCGAAAATGGGAGGATCTGTTTCAGTTGGGTCAGATCGTTAGGGGGGAGTGAAATATTAAGCTCCAGTGACTTCTGGGGGCTTGTATGGAGGCCTGAAAGTGAGCTGAACCCTTCTAGTAACCGGAGAAGAGTAGGAGTAGAGGTCAGGGGCGAGGTGAGAGAGTAGGACGTCATCTGCAAATAAACAGAGTTTATGACAAGTGCCCCCAATCTCAAGACCGCGGATGTCCGGATTGGTCCTGATCAGAAGGGCCAGCGGCTCTATAACTAGAGCAAAAAGCAGAGGGGACAGGGGGCAGCCCTGCCTAGTGCCTCGTGAAATTGGAAACCGAGCAGACCGATGTCCTAAGTACTTGATTCTGGCCGAAGGTTCTTGGTAGAGAGAGAAGATCGCTGTTGGGTCTTTGGTCCTCATTTTTTAACCTGGCAGAATGTACTGCAAGTATGGCCATGAGACTGTGTCGAATGGCCTTGCGTATGTCCAGAGACAGGAAACAGGCGGGAATCTTGAGGGACTTGGCTATGTGAGCAAGAAGGGTTGCTCGCTGGACATTATCCCCAGCCTGTCGAGTTGGTATAAAGCCTACCTGGTCGTTATGAATTAGGGATCCAATACATGCGTTGAGACGTGTCGATAGGATTTTGGCTAATAGTTTGATATCTATGTTGAGAAGGGATATTGGCCTGAAATTGGACCACTGCGTGTCGTCTGAATTCGGTTTGGGAATCATCGAGATGTTAGCCTGTAGTGTATCGGAGTTAAAGGTATGACCCGGCAGTATGGCATTGAACACGTTTGTAAGGCCTGGTGTGAGAAGGTGAGCAATCTTTTTGTAGTATGTAGTGATAGGTCGTTCCAGTGTACTTTAAATGGTTTTCGGAGAGCTTCGGGAACGGAAGAGAGGCAAAAAGGGTATAAGCCAGAGAGGAGTTGAAGGGTGTGGATGCTGAATAAAGACGCGTGAGATCCTTGTAGAAGGTTTGTAGGATCCATTCTGGGTTACTGGTGAGGTGGTCGGACGAGGTACGTAGGCAGATAGGTTTAATGATCTGGTCTAGCCTACGGAGGGAAAGAGCTAGGAAGGTGCCAGATTTGGTGGCTTTTGTATAAAATTTGTGTCGAGACCTACGAAGGGAAAGCTTGGCTTGGTACGTGAGGAGAAGATCGAGGGCTAGCCTGGATTTTGCTAAGGTTTCGCGATTAGTAGCGGAGGGGTTGTTTTGAAAGGCTCGGTGTGATTGATCGTAAGTTTGTTCGAGAAGAAGGCGTTTTTTCCTCTCCCTTTTTAGGAAGGAAGTTTTACTGATACAAAATCCGCAAAGTACGGGTTTGTGTGCTTCCCAAAGAAGGAGAGGGGAGGTTTCTGAAGTTTGGTTAAAAGATTGGAATTCTTTAAGCGCTGTTTCTATTTCTGCGCAATGTGACGGGTCCGATAGAAGGCTCTCATTGATGGTCCAAGAGGGGTCCGGGGGGGAAGGTGCCAAAGAGGCAATGGATGTAAGCACCACACAATGATCCGACCAAGGGATTGGTTGGATGTCGGAGCTCACCACTCGAGGGAAGGAACTAGCAGTCATGAAGATATGATCGATTCTTGAGAATGTCTTCTGGGGGTGGGTATAGAAGGTATATTGGCGTTTCACCGGGTTAAGTGCCCTCCATGTATCTATCAAAGAATATTGTTGCAGAGCGGATTGGAGTGACTGTTTAGATGTGAGTAGAGGGGGTGGTTGAGGAGATTTATCTAGGAAGGGGTATATCGTACAATTTGAGTCCCCGCTAACTAGTAGCGTGCCACGTTTGTGGAAATAAATAACTGATAGTAGATGGGAGAGAAATGGCAAGGGACCCTGGTTTGGGGCATAATATATGGCAATGGTGACCTCAAAGTCCAGTAGTAGTCCAATAAGGATGAGATAGCGACCTTCAGGATCTTTAACCTCAGTGAAAAATTTAAAAGGCGTCGTTTGATGGAAAGCTATAAGGACCCCTCTACACTTGATAGCTGCAGAGGCCGCGTAGACCTGTGGGTAGCGAGGGCCAAAGAATTTGGGAATGGAGGTAGGAGTGAAGTGCGTCTCCTGGAGACAGACTACGTGGGCTTTGTGCGAGGCAAAGGAGCGGAAAGCTTTGTTGCGCTTCTGTGGTATATTAAGACCCTGAACATTCAGGGTGAGAATGTTTATGGAACCCATGGTAAGAACAAGTATCGAGTCAGATTAAAGAGTGGTACCAAAGGAGTGAGAATTAGGAACACAAGGTGTGAGACCGCTGAGTGTGAGAAGGTAATAGGCAAAGACGCAGAGTCGCAGAGGGGAGAGGGGGAACAGGCTAAGGGGAGATAACATGGGATGAGTGTAGCAGGCCTGAGTCAGGCCCAAAAGTGGTCCCCAGGAGCACCCTGAAGGCAGGTGGTCCGGGGAGCAGATATAGCCTGAGTGGTGTCAAAAACGCGACACCAAGGGGGCTAGTGGCGAGTGCACAGATAAGCAGGCCGCTGGGAAGACCGCATATGAACAAAGTGTGATGATGCGATCCTGGAGGAGATAGAAACATCAAGATTAAGACATAAAAATTAAGACCTAAAAAGGGGTTCAGGAGTTTGCAGGGTCAAGCGTCCACGGTCGTCTAAAAAGAAAAAGGCAAACAGGAATACAGGACTGAAATCTTCTGTGCCGCCGGACCCAGGAACCCTATACAAGCAAGATATTGGCAGAACCATAACAAGACTATTTCAAACGGGATTGTACCCATAAGTGGGGTTTAAGGCACTGTGAACCTTTAACTACTAAGGAAAAAAGGGTCAAAGAAACAACAGTCTAACGGTATGAGCCCTGGGGGCTTATAGATAGATACAAGTTTGCGGCGTCCGCTGTCAGGTGTGGAGGAAGAGGAGTAGACACAGCAGGTGTCGACTACGGAAGTAGCAGGAGTTCACTGCGTTGGATGCAGGCTTGAGAGTGGAAGATGGCTGACGGGGCTCAGTCCATAGAGTCCTGTGGAGACGGAGCGGGCGAGGAGAAGCGCCCGCGTTTGTTGACGTTGAGATGATCAATGGAGATATGTGCCGGATGCGACTTCAGAGGGGAGCACGATGCGGATCGTCGCCTGGAGGTTTCTGATGGCGTTGTGTGAGGGTGCAGCTGAAGGCTCCGCAATGTTTCTTGAAGTTCATCTGTGGTCTTGGAGATGTGGTCACGAGCTTGGTACCGAAAACGCACTGCGAAGGGAAAGCACCATTTGTAGGGTATACCATGTTGTTAACGCACCAGTAGATGCGGCTTCATGGCCCTCTGGTGATAGTGCTGGGACAGAGGTCTTGAAATAGTTGGTAGGTATGGCCTTGGAACATGAGGGAGTCAGCATTGCGGGCTGCTTGCAGAAGTTGTTCTTTTGTGCGAAAAAAATGCAATTTGGCAATGATGTCACGTGGCGGGCCGTCAGTGCGTTTTGGAGCCAGCGCCCTGTGAACCCTATCCATCTCCAGGCGTTCAATGGGAATAGCGGGAGCGAGCTCCTGGTACAACGCGGTGACCATGGATTGGACATCTATAATCGACTCGGCAAGGCCACGAATTTGCACGTTGGAGTGCCTAGCCCGATTTTCAAAGTCCTCCAAGCGCGACTGTAACATGGAATTTTTGTCACGCAAAAGGTCAAGTTCGTCTCCTAGCGTTTGAAGTGAGGTGTCAAGGTCATCCACCCTTTGCTCCAAGTCAGCAGTGCGTTGCCCTAGCTCGCGAATCTCCTTGGACAGCTTTTCAGTAATGCGGTCAGAGGTCTGCTTCAGGGCCTTATGCAGCATTTTTTCATCAGACTCACCCTCGGACGTGCAGGGATGGCTCGGCTGCTCTGCATGCAGGGCTGCATACTGAGAAGCTGTTGCTGGCTTGCTGCTATGTTTGGGCGAGGCGGCTGTCTTTGTGGCGGCCCGAGCCAGGGCCTCCTTAATCGGCTTCCCTGGCGGCGGCACTTGGTGCCTAAATGCTCTCCTGACCATGCTGGTGTGTGGCAGGGGGGTTCACAGTGCTGCTGCGGCTGATTGCGCTGCGGTACAAGCCAGGATCGCGGGCCGGCTGTCTTCCCTGCGGTACGGGGGAGCCTCAGGGAGACGTCCATCACCGCTGGCCGCGCATGCGCACTCTCCTCACTCTTATTTTTCAGGTAGAGTCGTTGACCATTTTTATTTCTAATGGCAGGATCCTCTTAAAGCCGGTCATTCGAAAAAAAAAAAAAAACTTTTCCCCCTGCAAGGCAATGTCATCATATGCTAGCATGCATCGCATACTAGCGCATTATGTGAAACATGCCTTTAAAACAAAGCCCTCCAGTGGCGCGCTGTTACTACCACTTTTAAAGATGGTCTCACTCCTTTTTAATCTGTCATGTTTACTGTAAAATGGGAAAGCAGCTTTTGTGTTACACATCGCTTTATTGAACAGGAAAATACTGCACAAAGTGTCTGCACAAGCAGAAATTCTGTTGAGATTGGAAGGAAATAGCAGGCTCATGTTTCAATGCCATTATTAGTTTAGTAATAAAGCATTAGTGGCAGTTAAGCTCAGCTCTCTGCATTTTCTGGAACTGTATATAATATTATAACTCTCTGTATTACAGAATGTATAATTAACTTGGATTTTCTGTTGGCAGTACTTGAATAGATCAGTATCACATGTTTTTAAACAGATAAAATGGGACAAATATGACATATGCATTAATGTGCAGATCCACTATAGGAGTAACATGAGTGAGATATAAAATATTCCTTGAGAAAAACTATAAAAGTTCTGTGCCTTTTTCTTAATGTTTTGGCTTTACATTCAATTATGCTTCTATTTGTTGTGCTGTTGCCTTACAGGCTGGTTTCTAAAGCTTGCAAGTGAATGTCCGTTGCCACTACATATTTCCACTTAGTGGTTGAACTGTGGCAGTTGTAGCAGTTCACTCACCCCCAGACCCCCAAAGCAGATGAAGCCCGAGATGCATGCTAAGGCTGATGTCACACAAGCGATTTTGACACTGACAGCAAATTGCCAACATCAGGATCACTATGAGTTTCTATGGAATCACTCAGTTGCTGACGGGGCCAGCAAGATGTTGCTCCTTCTCTTGTCTGTTGCTAGTGAAGGAAATGTGACACCATTTGAGACTAGAGAGGGATTGATTCCAAAAAGGTGCTGTTGAGCGCACATAGAAATTTTATATTTACGTTTTTTTCACACCATTATAATCCAGTGCAGTGAAAAAAGTACAGCATGCTGCATTTTTCTGCACTGCAAACACACAAAAATTTGCACAAATGCATAGCAATGTCTATAAAAGCACAAAGAAGAAGGAAGTCACCTCAAACAACAAATGTGGATGGAAAAATACAAAATGCGCAGTAGATGTGCAGTTTTTGGTATGAATGGGCCCTAATGATTCTATCCAACTGTAAAGCTAAAAAATTAGAAGAATTGTGACATTTTTCTGTATTTTTTTATAACTACATGAAGCATTGGCATTGTTAATAATTTCCATTTATACTTTTAGGAAAACTTGTGGCTGTTGCAGTAATTGATGATAAAAACAATTCAGTTGAGCATACTCGGTAAGAATATTTTATATAATTGTCATCTAGGCTGTCCCCTTGTTGTATTCATTTTCTTGATATAAATCATGGCATTGTATTATGGAGTAGGGAATGGATTAATGAATGCAGCCAGGCAAGTTAAAATAACACATCCACTTAGTCCAACTTAGTAACTCAAAAGTTTTCAAGCCATAAGATCACCTTTAGAACTAGGGACAGGTAGCCAGCAATGGCTGTACAGGTTTGCTTTCGAACCTTAGTAAATTAATGTAAAAAAAAATGTATTAAAAACAAATTATTCACGTAATCTGGACATTACAACAAACCATGAGCTTTAGACAAAAAAATAAAATCACTCCTTATGTGGACAAATGTGTGATATTTACATTGCCTCCAACAAGAAAGGATTTACGAATATAGGGCTTAAGTACACTGCTCAAAAAAAAGGAACACTTTTTTTAATCAGAGTATAGCATCAAGTCAATTAAACTCCTGGGATATTGGTCTGATCAGTTAAGTAGCAGAGGGGGTTGTTAATCAGTTTCAGCTGCTTTGGTGTTAATTAAATTAACAGGTGCACTAGATGGGCAACAAGGAGACAACCCTCAAAACAGGAATGATTTTACAGGTGGAGGCCACTGACATTTTTTTCCCTACTCCTCTTTTTTGAGTTTGTTTCACTAGTTTTGCATTTGGCTACGGTCAGTGTCACTACTGGTAGCATAAGGTGATACCTGGACCCTACAGAGGTTGCACAGGCAGTCCAACTCCTCCAGGATGGCACTTCAATACGTTAATATGTGCCATTGCTAGAAGGTTTGCTTTGTCTCCCAGTACAGTCTCAAGAGCTTGGAGGAGATTCCAGGAGACAAGCAGTTACTCTAGGAGAACTGGACAGGGCCGTAGAAGGTCCTTAACCCCTCAGCAGAACCGGTATTTGCTTCTTTGTGCAAGGAGGAACAGGATGAGCACTGCCAGAGCCCTAAACAATGACCTCCAGCAAGCCACTGGTGTTAATGTCCCTGACCAAACAATCAGAAACAAACTTCAAAAGGGTGGCCTGAGGGCCCAACGTCCTCTAGTGGGCCCTGTGCTCACTGCCCGGCGCCATAGAGCTCGATTGGCATTTTCCTTTGAACAGAATTGGCAGGTCCGCCACTGGCACCCTGTGCTTTTCACAGATGAGAGCAGGTTCACCCTGAGTACATGTGACAGACGTGAAAGAGTCTGGAGAAGCCATGGAGAGCTCTATGCTGCCTGGATCCATTGTCAGACCCTACGCTGGTGCAGTGAATCCGGGGTTCCTCCTGGTGCACACCAATGCCCGGCCTCATGTGGCGAGAGTATGCAGGCAGTTCCTGGAGGATGAAGGACTTGATACCATTGAATGGCCCCCATGCTCACCTGACCTAAATCCAATAGAACACCTCTGGGATATCATGTGTCGGTCCATGCAACGATGCCAGGTTGCACCTCAAACTGTCCAGGAGCTCAGTGATGCCCTGGTCCAGATATGGGAGGAAATACCCCAGAACACCATCTGTCTCATTTGGAGCATGCCACGATGTTGTCAGGCATGCATACAAGCAAGTGGGGACCATACAAAGTACTGAGTACCATTTTGAGCCGCTGCAATGAAATTTTGTCATAATGGACTAGCCTGCTGCATCATATTTTAACTTTGATTTTCGCGGTGTCTTTGAATTCAGTCCTGTTTGATAATTTTCATTTCCATGAAACGATGCAGCATCCTTACATTTCTAACACATTACCCAGTCCATATCAGTATAGATATCCAACATGCTATTTTTCCCCATTGAGATGTGATGTGTTTGCAAAGTATTCCTTTAATTTTTTGGAGCAGTTTAAATGCAAACCCAATTACTAAAATCTCATATAAGCTTTACCTTGTTAATATAATTTATAAAGTAATTTTCAATATCTTTAAAGTGGAATTCCAGGCTAGAAAATAAGCTTAACAGTATCCCCTGCCCCTTGTAACACCTATACTAACTACCCTGTAGAAGGAAGATGATTATCCTTACCTATTCTCAGGGTGCTCCAGTCTGGTCAATTGATCGTCTCTTCTCTCTCAGCTAGCAGTGGCTTCAGGAGAGAGGAAGGACAGTCGACAATTGATGCCCATGGTAAGCCTATGAGGGATGTCACCACTCAAGTATTTCAGCTATTGTTGGCGCTCTCTCCTCTCCCCTGAACCTTGGCCTCTGGGGAGATCATGAGACTGGTTTGAAGAGCTCTGAGATTATGTAAGTATATGCACCTTCCTTCTACAGGGTAGTTAGTATAAGTGTTAGAAGGGGGTGGAGATGGAAGTTGCTATATGTTTGGTTAGTTCTAGCCTGGAGTTCTACTTTAAATTTGCAGCTTTCATTAGAATACCTGGTAATCCTGCCACAAAGGTCCTTGTACAAGCTCTTCCTCTTATAGGGTGGCAATGTCTACCAGTTGTTCTCCAGCATTGTGTCACCCTGTCATACAAGCTTACAATTGAGGCTACAGGTTATTTTTCTATTAGACTCATATATAGAACATACACAAGGTATACAAAAGACAAAATTATATTTACAGGACACATACAGTATGTTTTACTTAGTAATAATGAGTCGTCTTGGGTTTCCTAAACCTAACATTGGACATAATTACCTTACTTAAAGCAGTAAGACATTTCTTTTCCTCAAAAGCAACCCCATGTCTTGCAGACTTTCTTCTACGTCCTGTAAATCTGCCAGTCTAGATGCTGGTATTAATACTGTAGTTTTGGGATGCTCTGAATGTAAACGTTCAGGCTTCAGAGACACAGCACTGCAGTCATGTCTTGATCTCCCGCTCCTCATGGCCATCCATAAAACATACAGCCTCAGGCTTTGTTTTGTGAATAGCTAGGGCAGACATGACCACAGTGCTGGGATCTTTGAGACCTGCAGTGCTTACATCCTTGTGGGCCAGAGGTTGCTGTACTAACCCTGGCATCTAAAAAAAACAGATTTGTAGGATATAGAAGAAAGTGAGGTTGCTGTGCCCAGAGTTGGACTTTCAGTAGCTTCCTTGTACAATTGGTAGGAATTAATTAAACTCATAGCTATTTATTCTTAAAACATTTATAACCAAGATAATGGAAAATAAGACTTGTTTATGAAAAATGTTTTATGAAATTCTGTAAGTTTCTTTACAGTAGTGTGATCCCTCCTAATATTGGTATAACTGAGGAGTCGGCTTCATATTTTGACTGATACCTTTGCCAATGTTTTTGTTAGTTGATCTTTGAATGTCCATTGAAATGAATAGATTTCCCACGCACCAGAACAGACAATCTGCATTGGAGTTGATTAGTGTATTGGGATGCCATTGAAAATGAATGGCACTTCAATTCACTAACTTGCAGGTTCCCGCACTTCACTCAAGAGGTGTAAAATGGTCCTCAATGCTTTATATTTAACAGTTGAGTGAACTTACATGTAACTATTTTTTCTTTTAGGTTAAAGTCTATTGTTCAAGAGGTTTCCAAAAGCTATAGAGATCTTTTTCATCGGTAAGTTGAGATATATGTTTAATACAATCTAAAGTATATCTAGAACCAAACCTTTTTTTTTTCACTTAAATGAAACAAGATGGTTAATAGTATACAAATTATTCATGAGAACAAAATAAGTCTCTCGTATGTTATTTTCTGTACACAGGGCTGAATACAGTATATGTGAACCCTTGCCTTGTAAAACAACCAATTCAGTTTAATATACAGTACAGTATATACAGTACAGTGGGTAAAATAATTATTTGATCCCCTGCAGATTTTGTAAGTTTGCCCACTTTCAAAGAAATTAAGGGTCTATAATTTTTATCATAGGTGTATTTTAAATGATAGAGACTGAATATCAACCAAAAATCCAGTAAAAACATGATAGAAATGTTATTTTACTCACTGAACTGCAACTCAATTTGTAAGTATTTGATCCCCTACCAACCAACAATAATTCTGGCTCCCACAGACTGGTTATGTGTTCATGTAGTACACAGACTATAGTCCTGTCAATTTAAGAAGGTGCTCCTAACGACAACATGTTATGTGTATAAAAGACACCCTGTCCACAGAATCTCATTTTTCCTCACCACCATGGGCAAGACCAAAGAGCTGTCAGAGACGAGATTGTAGATCGAAGGTCAGAATGGGCTACAAGACCATCCGCACGAAGCTTGGTGAGAAGAAGACAACTATTGGAGCAATTATTCGCAAATGGAAGAAATACAAAATAACCATCAACCTCCCTTGGTATAGAGCTTCATGCAAGATTTTGCCTCATGGGGTGAGGATGATCATGAGTAAAGTGAGGGATCAGCCCAGAACTACACAGGAGGAACTTGTGAATGATCTCAAGGAAGTTCGGACCACAGTCGCCAAACAAACCATTGGTAACACAATATGCCGCCATGGATTGATATCCTGCAACGCCTGCAAGGTCCCACTCCTCAAGAAGGCACATGCACAGGTCCACCTGAAGTTTGCCAGTGAAAATCTAAATGATTCAGAGAATGACTGGGAGAAAGTGCTGTGGTCAGATGAGACTAAAATTGAGCTCTCTTGCATTAACTTGACTCGCTGGGTTTGGAGGAAGAAAAAATGCTGACTATGACCAGAAAAACACCATCCTTAGTCAAGCATGAAAGGTGGAAACATGCCTTGGGGCTGTTTCTCTGCTAAAGGTACAGGTCAACTATGCCACACTGAGGGGCCAATGGGTAGGGCCATGTATTGGAAGAAGGTTCTTATCCAAGATTTTACATCAGCCAGAACACTGAAGATGGGTTGTGGATGGGTCTTCCAGCATGACAGTGAACCAAAACATACTTCCAAAGCAACAAAGGAGAGGCTGAATAAGCATATTAAGGTTATGTCGTGACCTAGTCAGTCTCCAGACTTTAGTCCTATAGAAAATGTATGGAGGGAGCTGAACCTTCAAGTTGCCAAGCAACAGCCAAGAAACCTTAAGGATTTAGAGAAGATCTGTAAAGAAGAGTGGACCAAAATCCCTCCGGAGATTTGTACAAACCTGGTAACCAACTACAAGAAACGTCTTACCTCTGTGTGTACGTATTAAGTCATGTTTTTTGCTTGGGGATCAAATACTTATTTTACTCACTGAACTGCAACTCAATTTATAACATTTGTATCGTGTTTATTCTGGATTTTTGGTTTATATTCTGTCTCTGTCATTTAAAATACACCTATGATAAAAAATGATAGACCATTAATTTCTTTGTAAGTGGGCAAACTTACAAAATCTGCAGGGGATTAAATAATTTCCCCACTGGGAAGTAAGGCTTTGAGAGGCGGGAGTAGATAAATAGCAGGACACTGATTTTCCTAATGAATGGCTGTGCAGAGAGGGCATGCCAGCACATGATCGTTGGAGGTCAGGCAGGCAGTTCTCCCAATTCAGCCAGAAAACGAACCATGCTGGAATGGATGTACTCTAATTCCTAGGATTGTCCGTTTGAAATGAGAAAGTAGGGGGGCTGGCAGGAACACCAGGGATTTCACACAAAAGCAGTGCAAAAAGAACAGGATACTTTTAAACACAACTACATGGTACAGCAGGCACATATCAGGAATATGAAATGTGAGGGTAACCTATTCTTTGAGTGTGTCTAACAGGACTGAGATTGAACTCGGCAGTCACTTTTGCAGCAGTTGTTTTCTTATTCTGGGTCACAATCCTTGTCTCTTTCGGTCAGTTGACTATGTCGACCGACATGCTTATCAGACAATGTTTTCACGGAAACTGTATATGCCACCATAATCTTTGATACTGTATCTCGCAACATGGCAAATAAATTGGCAACTTCAGTCACAGAGGCACCAGCTAAGCGGGCACCAATAATTTGCCCTCTTTGTAGACCAGTAAGCTCTGACATGACTCCGTATTACTAGCACCACACGCAGTTAATGAAGAAAGTGAGGCTTCCCACCTTTTAGCTAGGTGTCTCATCAAACAGCAGAAGCAAAAGATTGTTACATCACTTACACTTTCAACACAAAATATGTTGTCACTATCACACCTGCAAATCATGTACAGTTTCCATTTTTTGTGTAACCCCTGTATATTGTACATTCGTGAACTAATACCTTTTAATTTTGTGTATTTGTACAGAGACTTCCAGTTTGGACACATGGATGGCAGCGAGTACATAAATAGTCTGTTAATGGAGTAAGTCACTTCATACTTAATGCATATTAACAGATGTACAGTGTGTATGATGTTCTTTCTAAACTTTGGTAGTGCAGCCAGTGCAAGAACTGTATTTACAGAAATTGATATGTATTATGTGCTTCTCCTACCTAGTTGACTGATGTAAATGAAGAATTAGATTTCTAGTGTAAACAGCATTACTGTACATGAACTTTTCTCACACTATTACAGTTTTGTGCAGACTATTACATAACTTTTATTTCTGATAGTAATCATATGTTATGCTATTCTATATTAAAGTGATTGTAAAGGGTACTTTTTTTAAAAATAACACGCTTGTTATACTTGACTGCTCTGTGCAATAGTTTTGCACAGGGCAGCCTCTATCATCCACTTCTGGGGTCCCTCACTGGCGCTCCTGGCTCCTCCTCCCTTCCAATTGTTCCCATAGGAAGCTGCTTACTTTGGGGGCACTCGTGCAGGCTCAATCCTGAGCTGGACTCTGTGTCCATTGACACACACAGTGTGGCTTAGCCCCGTCCCCCACTCCCTCCTCATAGGCTGTGAGTGGCCCACACTGTTATCTCCATGTCCAGTGAGGAAGGAGAGAAAGGGGAGCGCTGCTGCTCTCGGACGCAGCGCTGGAATAAGATCGGGCTCAGGTAAGTAGTTTGGGATGGGCTGGGGGGAGCTGAACACAGAAGGTTTTTTACCGTACTGCATTCAGCTAAGAAAGCTACCTTTTAGAACACAAGTTTGAAATACAGCTTGTTTGTAATCAATATAGTTGTTCTTCTTAGGTCTTCACCTTGATCAGGTGGTCCTTCCTGGCTCAGTTCGTCGTATTTCCCTAATATCAATTTCTAATTAAGTGTCTATGCTTGTGCCTATACCCCTGCTCTGACCAAGATGGTACATAGTCACAGTAAGGATGCCAGAAGTCCATTGGTAGTTTTTAGTTGTGTAAATGATAATGTTCTGTCAGAAAAGATGTTTGCTTGTGCTCCCTCTTTTAAGCTTGTGTTGCATCTGAACATTGTTTAGCTTATTGACGGGGAGAAAACACAGTGCAGAGTTCTCCCTTAGTCTTGAAGAAAGTAAATGTTATTAAATACTTTGACCAGATTTTGCATGTTCACTTTTCCAGTGAAGTTCAGGTCCCAACTATTGTTGTACTCAACACATCCAATCAGCAGTATTTTCTGCCGAGCAAGAAAATCGAAAGCGTGGAAGATATGATTCAGTTCATTAACAGCATCCTAGATGGTACAGCAGATGTAAGTTATGCACATTATGCCCAACAGTACATAAATTGTTTAGTAAAGCCTGAATACCCTAAAATGAGTCCATAGACATCCATACACAAAGGAAGAATAGTCCATGTAGTCCTCTCTGTCCCTCTACTCTTTTGAAGTGCACTGTATCCGTCTCTTTTCTCTTGTTTGAGGATCGCAGTCATCTACTGGCCTTCTGGCCCAGTTTCACGCTTTCTTGATGACTTCTCGGCATGGCTACCATACTTTCTCTCCTCTGAGGTGCCTGCCATCATCCTCAGTGACTTTAACATCCCACTTAATGTTAACACCTCAGCCACTTCTCAACTACTCAACCTACCTTCCTCTTTTAACCTAACACAATGGACACAATCCATCACCCACTCTAACGGCAACACCCTCGACCTTGTATTCTCCCACCTATGCAGTCCCTGTAACCTCTCTAACATCTGTTTTCCTCTCTCTGATTACAATTTTATCATCTCCTCCCTGGGCCCATGGGTGTATTTTACCACAAGGCAAACAAGGCATTTGCCCAGGGCGGCATTTTTTAGGGGGCAACACTGCCCCCAGAAGAAGGGACACATGCAGCATGGGGACCAGGTGGGATCTGAGAGAAGCTGCGGGCTGCTTGATGCAGAAGCCCGACTGTCATTCCAGGGGATTCCCAGAGCTGTGAAGGTGAGTGTCTTTCTCTCTGTCACCGGCGGGGGGCGGGGGGGGGGGGGGGGGGGTGGTATTAGATGGAAGGCTCTCTCGGGTGGTGGTGTTTTTGGTCACTGTCAGGCTCTCTCCATGAGGAAGGGGGTCTGGTGTTGGTCGTTGTCAGGCTCTCTCCTCCAGGGAGGGGGAGGGCGTCCGATTTTTGCTTTGCCTAGGGCAGCACAAAACCTAAATACACCACTGCCTGGGCCAATTGATAACCTCCAATGACTTCTAATACCACCTCTATGCTGATAACACCCAGATCTAGCTCTCCACTCCCAAGCTCACCCCCTCAATCTCCTTATATATCACAAACCTACTAAGCGACATATCAGCATGGATGTCACACCACTACCTTAATGCGAAGTTCCACTCACGCTGTCAAAAAATAAAATCAGCAGTTACAAAAACTGTAGCTGTTGACTTTAAAAAAAACAGCCACTTACCTGTCCCTCAGTGTTTACCCCGCAGCCCATTTCAATGGCCGCCCTGTATTCCAGGAGGCCGGCATCTTCAGTGTGGGTACTGGCTGTGACTGCTTGTGGCTTCACAGCTGGGCACCCACTGCGCATGCGTGAGTAGCGTTGCCCTTCATGAATGGTCCTGTAGTCCTCTGGGACCTGTCACGTGTCCCAAAAGACTACAGTGAGGGAGGACACCTAGGCGATCGGAAGTGGGAGTGGGTATCTGTAAAATTTGCGTACCCGCTGCTTGCTCCACGCCCCTTAAAGGTACCAGTTCTTAATGGGGAGCGGGGAGCAGTCCTTAAAGCAGAACTTCCCCTTTTGGGTGGAGCTCCGCTTTCAACTCAATCTTTCCAAAACTGAGCTTGTAATATTTCCTCCTCCACGATCCCTCACTCATGACTTTACCATTAAGATCAACAGCACAACCATTGGTCCTTCCCCTCATGCCAGGGTGCTAGACGTAATCCTAGACTCTGACCTCTCCTTTGGGCCCCACATCCAATCACTGGCTAAATCCTGCTGCCTCAACCTCTGGAACATTTCCAAAATCTGCCCCTTTCTGACTAACGTCACCACAAAACAACTTATCCACGCCTTGGTTTTATCATGCCTTGATTACTGCAACTCCCTCCTCACTGGTCTATCGTTACACAGGTTATCCCCCCCTTCAGTCTATTATGCACGCTGCTGCTAGACTCGTACACCTTACCAACTGATCAGTGATTGCTGCCCCTCTCTGCCAACCCCTTCATTGGCTTCCACTAACCCAACGTATAAAATTCAAAATACTAACCACAACATACAAAGCCATCCACAACACTGCCCCTAGCTACATCACCAACCTCATCTGCAGATATCGTCCAAAACGCCTGCTCCGCTCCTCCCAACACATCTTGCTCTTTAGTTCCCTCGTCACCTCCTCCCACACTCACCTCTAAGACTTCTCCAGAGCCTCTCCCATCTTCTGGAACTCCCTACCACAGTATGTCCGGTCAGCCCCCACCCTGTTGGCCATTAGGTGATCGTTGAAAACTCGCTTATTCAGGGAAGCCTACCCCACTTCCATCTAAGAACTGTACTTGAGCCACCTCCATCAGAACATAGCCTACAGCTATCAATGTTTGTGCCACCTCCCCCTTTCTTTAGATTGTAAGCTCCACGAGCAGGGTCCTCCTATTCCTTCTGTACTGAAATGTATTGTAATTGTACTTTCTCCCTTACATTGTAAAGCGCTGCACAAACTGTTGGCGCTATATAAATCCTGTATAATAATAATAATGTAGTCTAATCCCACTTTAATACCATGTAATTAACCCCCAAGTCAGAGATAAGTCAATTATCCCACTGGCCTGAGAGAGTACATGTGTTCTATTCTGTGGATTCCTTCGCACATACAGTCACCACTCTACACCTTTAACATTTTTGTAGCTTTCAAAGATTATATCTCTTTCTTGGCCAGCCTTTCTCAACCCTTTTAATATAGAGGAACTGTTGAAATAATTTTCATGTCTGTAAACCCCTGTTAAATTATTACATCTCTAACTCATGGCACATTTCCATGGCTAGTAATTTGCAAATATATTTATACATAAAAGAATAAAGAACGTAGTGTATCTAGCATATTTTACACCTAGAGTAGATATTTTTTTTAACACTCCCCTGCTCTAAAGGAAAAATGTTTTAGTAACAATCTTGAAATAGCACAAATAATAATAATAACCAGAAAAGAAACCCCAAGTGTGAAAATTGTAGTGTCCTGTCACATTGGTGATCAGTGGTAAGCTCCTTCTTATATTGGTAGTTGGTGTAGTGATCCCATACATTGGTGGTCAAGTGGAAAAGGATCCCTTATATCAATGGTCATCCGGTGAAGGACACTCTTATATTGTTAACTAGTGGAAAACTGCCCCTTTACACACAGCTAAAAAGAAAAGTGAAATTAGTGGGTACTGAGACAGAAACACTTTATTGCTTAAGAAACCCCTGACAGCCTCTGGAGGAACCCTAGAGTTCCACGGAACCCTTGTTGGGAAACCCAGCTCTAGGCTCTGCCACGTGGAATTAACCAAAGATGGAATGATATTAGTTGGATTGTTTGCATTTTTTTAAAGTTGCAAAGATTATATACCATATATTAGTTGACTTATAGCCCAATCAATCACCCAACAGTAAAGTGTTATGCTAATCTGGGTGGTAGCACTAAAAAAATTCCATTGGTACATAGCAGTTTCAAAGTGTTAGCAGATGTCCTAGACCTTTTCAATGCTTTATGCTTTGTGGCCCATTACTGAAGCATGTATAGCCATCAGTTTGAATTAATAATGTTTATTATCTTAAATCCGCGCAGTTGTTTGTAATACATTTTCTTTATGTTGTGAATATTTAAGGCTCAAGGGGGTGATGGAATACTGCAACGTATCAAGAGAGTTGCGTATGATGCCCGATCTACTGTTGTAGTAAGTAAACTGTATATGTTTGTATTAAAATGTAATGTTTTTTTTTACCTTGTGCAAATGCTGATGAAGCTGATTCTTTTTAAAGTAGGAAGCAATAGAATGTCCTTTTATAGACCTTCCATTGCAAAATGAAATATGACAGATGAAGCTAAATCAGCATTGTCCAACATATCCTGTCTGTGTAGAAAACCCTTACTTTCTGACGTGCCATTTTTTGACTCTTGTAAAATAAGCTAAATGCATATGTTTTAGGACTCTTGTACTTTCTATTACTGGAATAGAATTATAATATTCTCTCTATTGGATACAGTGAAGCTGATCAAAGGTCCTGACAATACTTACTGATGCAGCTGCGCAGTCTAATTTTGGAGGGCTTACTCTTTTTGTTTTTCAGATTTTTTTTCTATTGGCTTTATTATATATGACCAAATCTGATAGGGAACCCCTTTCAACAGTGCAGACTTTTAGATTTCAAAGGTCCTGACAATAGTAGTTGTAAGATGATCATGTGTAAAAGTCTGATTTTTGGTTCTGGGACCAGTCTTCTGGATACAATAACGACATCCCTTCTTTCAGACCGATTAAACCTGCTGGTTTGTTTGAATTTAAATTGTTTCTATTGGCTTGAAGTGACCCTCCACTTGTAAGTGAAACCCACGTCTCATTATCCTCCTCTCATCTATTCAGCCTCGAAGGCCCCTTTCACACAGTGCAGACTCAGGTTAGATAGGGGTGAAATGGACCTGGATCCAATCAGCAGCAGGGGATCTGTCCATTGATCCCCTACTGAGCAAAGTGGGCGAGGATGAACCATCTTTGTGTAAGTCCTCTCAATTTTATGCAGAGTGGACATGGACAGAGCCTGCTGTGCTTTATGGGTGGTCGGTAGTAAATGGACCCCACTATATCTGTTTACACCCAACTGCCATCCAATCCGCCTATATGGAAGAGGACTGAAGCCCTTCCATTTTCTTTAGCAGGCTGGATCTGAGACCAGGTAGGTAGGCGGGTGTAAACAGACTCAAGTCCCTTTACACCTGCTGGTTGTTTAAAAGGGTGATAATGGACTGTCCAATCAGGTCTGCCGAAAAAACTGACAGGCGGTTTCTGATGGTGGACAGGACCTCTTTGTGTGAAAGTGACTTTTACAAGATTAGAAGAGGTGTGTGTTGTAGAGGGAAGTCAGCTATCCTGATATAGTAATAGCAGGCACCATCTGCTTCTAGGTCATGCATACCCCAGGAGACTCAAGTATTCCTATGCAAAGCTTAACCTTTCTGAAATTAAACATGAACATGCCCTCAGTGTATCTTATTGTACACTACCAATTCCTGCCGTGGATGTGCCGTAATTGTATTGTGGGATGCAGTGCCTAGATTTCACGGTTTTTAAACCCATACACTGCATACAAAGGTTCTGGGGCTTCTGGGTTAGCAAGTGGGGTCTGCAGGTACTGCACACTTTCTGTTACCATCAGTTTAGCTAATTTTCAATATATATTGTATCTGTGTTATTACTTGATTTTAATTTTATTTTAAAGTATATCTATGAATATTCTTTTGTAAAAACAGTCCGTGTTCAAGAGTTCACCTCTTCTTGGATGCTTCCTCTTTGGTCTGCCACTGGGTGTCATCAGCATTATGTGTTATGGAATCTGCACAGCCGACACCGATGACGGCACTGAGGAAATGACCAGAAAGGATGTGATTGATCCAAGTCATACAGACGAGGGCAGCGATGAGGAACAAGACGAGGACAAAATGAGAGAGCACTCTTCAGAGGTGACGGATGAAGATCAAGAAGAAAAGGATATTATGGAGAAGAAGAAAGATTAACTGTTATGAATATTGGATTAACTAGGAATCCCAAACAAACTTATTTATTAAATTCAACCACTGACACAGCTTTATTAAGGGAAAAAAGAAAGAACTCTGCTTCACTGATCCTTGGCATGCCTTCAATTTACATTTTTAAAGCATCGGGACTATCTATCAGACATTCTAGAATTTAATAAAAGGTTTTGAAAGTAGAAATCAAATAAAAAGAGCCTCTGTTTTTCTTAATGTCAAGTCCCTACTGGTGTCCATCCAAGGGGTGATTCTTAATCAGCTTAAATTCTCAAATGTATATTATTCATACCACTGGAACATAGCTGAATTTTTAATAGTAGTCAGTTTTGTATGCAAGCTTTAGAATTCAGCTTTAGCAATATTTTTTTAATGTGTATAATGTATGCAAATGTACCAAATGGATGTATTTTAACAGTGAGGTTTATGTACATTGCTAAACCACTTTAACTGAAAGTAGTTTGTAACTTGCTTATGATCTGTTACACACTGATGTTAAGCTTGAGGTTGCAGTTTACTTGAGCAAAGATACTCCTTGATATAATATTAATGCTTTTGTTTTTGACAACTAAACTATCTATATTCTAACAAACATCCCACTCTAGTCCCTTACCCACCTGCCGACCGCTCATAGTAAATATACCACAAGTGCAGGCACAGTCACGGAAATGTACATGATTAGCCTGCTTCTGGGTTTGTGCGTGCTCCCTGCCGACCTGTTCTGTGATTGGACACAGCACAAATTTGGCACCGATTTTGGCTGAAAACAGACCTCTGTGTGTGATTGGATACAGCTGATAAGCTGTGTTTATAAAATACAGAACTTGCATGTACAGTGAACAGTGAACTGGCTGTTTCTTTTCCCTGAAAAGCAGGGAGAAAAACATTCAGACAGTAAAGTAAAAGTAACACATTACACATTGTTCAGCACTCAATTAACCCTTTGATTGCATCTAGATGTTAACCCTTTCCCAAGCAGTTTTATTAGTACAGTGACAGTGTACAGTATTAGCACTGATCACTGTATTAATGTCACTATTGGTGACAGTGTACCTCCCAGCCAGTGTCCGCTAGCTCCAGATTGCCAGCCACCCGATCACAGTCCCACTATAACTCTCTGATCACCGACATTACCAGTATAGTGTCATAGCTGTGTAAATTCCATTATATTTACCATCGTTTGTAGATGCTATAACTTTCACAAAACCAACTAATACACACTTATTGGGATTTGTTTTTTAACCAAAGACGTAGCAGAAAACATTTTGGCCTAAAGTAATTAGATGTTTTATAACAAGTAGAGAATATCATTTTTTTTTTTAATTATTGATCTTATTTCATTTATATAATACATATAATACAAATCCAGTGGTGATCAAATACCACCAAAAGAAAGCTCTACTTGTGTGAAAAAAAAATTGTATTTTAATTTGGGCACAGTGTTGCATGTGCGTGTACTCGCCAGTTAGAGTAGCACAGTGCTGAATAGCAAATAATGCTCTGGTCAAGGGGGTAAAACCCTCTGGAGGTCATGTGGTTAAAAAGCACATTAGCAATTTTGGAAATGTTAAGCCAGTTCCCTATAGTTTTCAATGCAGAGGTTTGCTCAGAACCATATTCACAACCTATTTTAAGGTTGGGCAAAAAAAAAAAAAGAATAATAATGAATTACTATTATAAGTATCAAGTGTACCTCACAAGTGATGGACTTGCAATTTGAGCCAAACACAGCACTCAGAGTGTACTTAGTATTAGGCCTCAGAGTTATTAGTGCTGTATCTTCAGGGATTTTTTTTTCTTCATTTTATATGCTTTTTTTTACAACATGGAAAACCTCTCCACTCCCCTCTTGGTCCTGACTTGGCTCTAAATTAACCTTTTCAGTGGAAAACCCCTGTTGTAAAATCTGTTGTAATCCATTATTGAAAAATATTACCAAACAGACTTAAAGGGTAAGTTCAACTTTTCACAAAAAAAATGAAAAACTGAACCTAACATACTACACCCTTGTACCACATCATCATCAGTCTCTGCGCTGTCATATCAACTTTTTTCCAAGTTCTAAACATTTATTTTCCACTACTGCACTAGATGAATGATTATCAGTCTCGGAACGGGAAGCAGCTATATGACTGGTTGGGCTGCAGGATTACATATGCTGTGCGAGTGAGTTGGAAGACTGGGTAGAATGTTGGAATTTATGTTGATACCTACTTAGCTTCTCATCCTCAAATATAGCTCCAGTTATGGTATATGATGGATTTGTGGGGGGTGCAGGTTTACAATATTGCTTGATGTCATTATATTCCATAAGGAAAGTAGTATACCATACGTAGAATGTGACGAAAACTCTATTTTGTAGACCTGGTACAAAATGTATATTTCACCTTCATATTGAGGACTGAACTGTTTACAAAGTAGCATGGTAAAAATGTACAATGTTATTTTTCTAGGTTTTTTTAGGGCATTATTTATCCTAATAACTTTTCCCAAACTTTGGGGTTGCCTTTAATTTGTATTTAGCTTGCTCTTTCTTTATTAATGTATATACTCTTATATTTTAAAATACTGTAGAAAATCTGCTGTACTACACTTATACATGGCATAATTGCCATGTGTAAATGTTTACTTCATAACTTGTACCTTACTGGTAAAATCTACCTTACTGTTAAATGTAATATTGTAATGTAGTACAGCAAAAGAGTTCACTTTGTAAATAGTATTTTTTGCTGTTTTGGTTCCCTCAGCCTTGTACAAGCCTATAAAGTTTCTGATGTGCTTTATGGGAAGTGTCAGCTCTTGATTTCAATAGAGGGAATTCAATGTAGACAGGTAAAATATAAAGGTTCTTCAGTAAACACAATCCAGGGAATTAGTGAACTGTCAGAAGTGGTATGTGCCACATTAATTAAAGATGGCCTGTGCCATTTTTTTCTTCTCTTTCTCAGAGTGAGATAGAAATGTGTGCAGGTCTACACCTAGTTAACATGGGAATCTGCAGCAGTTTTCTATATGGAAATCTTCCACTTTCCCTATCAGGTGTGACCTTGTTCTAAGGGATGTGAGCTGTCCGCCAATAGCGCACATCCCCCTCTCTGCCTGTTCAGTGATCACACTACATGAGCAGAGACTGCAGGGTTGTCATCCCTCCTGCTCTAAGAAGAACAGGGAGGCAGGACAGCAGAGAGATCAGAGCACGCAGCTTCAATTTTCTCTCCTGTGTGCTGTATCTCTCATAATAAGTCGCAATCAGTTTTCTGTTCTGCTAACAAAAGGGCTTGTTGTCCATTTGGTAATTAGGAGTGGCATCTGCTCCATTTTTTTGTTTAGAAGAGTGGTGCAAGCATTGTGCTTTCACAACTCTGATAATTTCCCTCAATGGCTTTAAAAGCCTCTGCTGACACAAATGATCAAGCTAGGTGATTTATTATTTATTGACTGGCTTGTTTTATACTATGGAATTTATTTTAAAAAATTAAAGTAAACTTGTGTTTTGCAAAGCAACAGGTTGGCATTAAAACTAACTCCAGTTGCATCCTTTACTTACCATCCCCTTTTTCTCCTGCTGCCAGAATTGAGAAGAAGCCCCTTCAAGCTTCCTAAGGGCTGAGGACTTTCCTGCCCCATGTGATAGCGCTGGTGCCTGAATGGCCAATTACCAAGCACCAAAGCTGTCACTTGGCAGAAAAGCAAGTTGCATAACCCGCTGTATTTAGAAGTCCTGGACAACTCAAAAGCAGAAATAGATTGATGGGAGTGAAAGAGAGGTGACTATATGTATCTGTGCATAGATAAAGCCCTGGTTCGTTTTAAAGTGCCTCTGAAAAGGCTAGGTGCCTGACTGTGTCCCAACTTCGGTATTTTGCAGTCACTATCTAGGAACAAAAATGCTGTAATACGTGCCAGAACGACTCTCCATGCGTCTTTTGGGTCAGCAACTCAGACAACATTGAATGGAAAGTTTCAGAATGACATCATTCTCAAAGGATAGTTCAGCATTGGCACCCCCATCAATCGCTCATGACAATGAGTGTCCCTTTATGCTTTAATTAGGAACGCGTGTTATCACTTTGTTAGTGTATGTTTATAAAGTCTTTTGCCACTTGAATGCTGTTCATTTGGGTGGATTCAAACTTGAAGGTTTGAATGGGCCCTGACAAAGGAACAGTAGATCGTCACTCTAGGAAGATAAATATTTTAAAAAAGTAATCTTTTTACAGATTCATTAAAGGGATTCTAAAGGACGTTTTTTAAATAATAAACATCTTATACTTACCTGCTGTGCAGTGGTTTTGCACAGAACAGCTCCGATCCTCCTCTTCTGGGGTCCCCCACTGGCACTCCTGGCTCCTCCCCCCGAGTGCCCCCATAGCAAGCTGCCTGCTATGGGGGCACTCATGTGGACTTCATCCTCAGCCAGGCTATGTGTATCCATTTACACACAAAAAAAGTGGCTCAGCCCCACCCCTGCTCTCTCCTCACTGGCTTTGGTTGACTGCAGCAGGAGCTAATTGCTCTTCTTGCTTCCTCTGTGTCCAGTGAGAAGACAGAGAGGAGAGTGCTGCTGCTCTCGTGCAAATTGCTAGACCAAGATAGGGCTCAGGTAAGTATAAGGGTAGGGTGAGGAGCTGCATACAGAAGGTTATTTTTTTTATCTTAATGCAGACAATGCATTAAAGTGGTTGTAAAGGCTCATGTTTTTGTTACCTTCATGCATTTTATGTATGAAGGTAAAAAAAACTTTGTGTGCAGCACCCCCTAATACATACCTGAGCTACATCACGATTCAGCGATGTGCACAAGAGCCTCAGCTCTCCAGGGACACCCCCTCATTGGCTTCCTCTACTGTCAATCATAGGAGAGAGAGGGGGCTGAGCCAAGCCGTGGCTCTGTGTGAATGGTCATGCATATTAGGGGCTTGGGGGCTAGCTTGCTTGGGTGCCCCCATAGCAAGCTGCTTGCTCTGGGAACACTACGCAGGAGGGAGG